TGGTTGATATCTTCAATTATGACAATCCATAAAACAATATGGTTAAGCACCCCTTAACTAATGACGTTTTATTTTAGACATGTCAAAAGATATTAATTTTCCCCCCTCTTATCAGATGAGTCCAACCCTAATGGGATCCATTCGAGTCATAGAAATCGTTTTTTTAAAAATTAAAATAAAATTGTGCATATATATGTAACTATAATATATAAGGACTAGCGTATGTCGGTGCCTAAAGGCACGGTGTAAATAATATTAAGATTAAAATGCAGTTATAAAAATATATTTAACAGACTATACTCTACAATTTCAAACAATCAAATATAAAAAAAATTAAATATCAAATATTAAATTTAATCCCAACACTATTTAAATTTAAATTTATTCCCAACACTATTTAAATTTAAATTTAATCCCAACACTATTAAATTTAATCCCAACACTATTTAAATTTTAATTTAATTCTAACACGGATTAAATTTAAATTTAAATTTAATCCCAACGCTATTTAAATTTAAATTTAATCCCAACACTATTTAAATTTATTATAAATTTAATCCCAACACTATTTAAATTTAAATTTAATTCCAACACTATTAAATTTAATCCCAACACTATTTAACTTTATTATAAATTTAATCCCAACAATATTTAAATATAAATTTAATCCCAACACTATTAAATTTAATCCCAACACTATTTAAATTTAATCCCAACACTATTTAACTTTAGATTTAATCTCAACACTATTTAAATTTAAATTTAATCCCAACACTGTTTGAATTTATTATAAATTTAATCCCAACATGGATTAAATTTAAATTTAATCTCAACACTATTAAATTTAATCCCAACACTATTTAAATTTAATCCCAACACTATTTAACTTTAGATTTAATCCCAACACTATTTAAATTTATATTTAATCCCAACACTATTTAAATATTTTTTAATCCCAACATTATTTAAATTTAATCTCGAGATGTAGATTCCTCTATAATATTGTTCATTTGGTAAAGAACAATCAACTGACTGCCAACACAATACAATCATTACAGTCACAAACATATTTATAAATATAAAAAATTAAAAAATAAATAACATAGATCAGCTGGGAAGAGTCAAACACAACTGTTACCCCAATCCATTTTGATAGCAGCAGCAGTAGCAAGCTCATGGAAAAGGAAGACACTCGTCTTCACAACAACAGTTGGGATGTGATAACCACAATACCAAAACCATGTTCCCAAAATGTTTTCTAATAATAAAATTTGAAACTAACTGCATTTCCTTGTATCACATTGTTATCCCAAATTAACATTTGAAATTAACCATAACACCAAAACCAAGAATACTATACACACTCAAAAGCCTGAGAAAATTAACTCTTTTCATCATAACAAATAGATTAATTTATTACAACCAATAAAAAAATCAAGGAAAATGAGATGCCAATGGAAATAACAATACAATACCTTTTGTCCCGATAAGCCTGATAGACTCACTCTCACACCAATCTCTGAAGTCCATGGCCTCTGCATGGATTGGAGGTTAAAAGGTCACTTAAATTATTCAATTAGAAAACCTACCAGCCATGGTTTACCTGATTGCTTGGTCATGGCATCCTTTTTCCCTTTCAGGGACAACCGAGCAGAGGCAGGTGATGATGAAAGAGAATGCAGCAGGTCTGCCACCCGTAGATTTCTGTTGGCCCAATGACCCTCCAAGAGTTCCTTTCACAGGGGTGTTTTTAGTTCCGCAACTGCCCTGGTTTGCAAGATAAGGAAAATCCAACCTGCTTGCAGGAAACACGACCTCTTAATTTTGCCTTTACACTTTATCATTGTAAATAATTCAAACAAGAATAGGTTAATAAAACCAATAGCCTTGATAATCGCATTGACACTTCTAGATAGTAGTTGTATTCATGTTGGACACCAACATTCAAACAAACACTTAATGGGTATGACTTCTAATTCTAAATTATAGAGTTTTTATTTCTCTCTTTATTTTTCCCCTTTTTCTTCCAAATTTCTTAGCAACCAAACTTATACTACACAAAAGAAATAAATAGAATGAACAACATAAAATAAGCTAAATCTAGAAAGCATAGATTTCAGAAAAAAACAACTATGTTAACTACTCAAGAACTCGAGGAGGCTTATAAGATTTCCATGACAAAAATGATTCAAAAATTTCAAATCAAAGTGTTGCGAATTGAAGCCAGTCGGAGAGAAGGGAGAGATAAAGAAGAGGAACAAAGAGGGATTGAGATAAACAGAAATGAGAATCCCACCTGAAATATTGGCAAAATCTGAAATCGCAATTCAAAGCAAAGGGTTGCGAATTGAAATCTGAAACTGAAGAGGAACAAAGAGGGAGATATAGTCGGAGAGAAGGGAGATGATGATAAACAGAAATGAGAATCTCACCTGGAATATTTTTCTACTTTCTTCGCAAGCTTTTGAAGGCAAAATCTGAAACTGAAATGTTTTTCTGCAGTCGGAGAGAAGGGAGAGATAAAGAAGAGGAACAAAGAGGGAGATAGAGATAAAGATGAAATGGGAGGAGACGTGCAACAGAAAGGGAGAGAGAGATAAAGATGGAAGGGGGAGGAAACATGGGAGAGAGAGAGAGAGTAGAGTGTGTTTGGGCGGGAAACAAATTAAAAACAAATTAAGGGGGTCATCTCAGCCATCTATCTAAATAGACAAATGAATCATAACTATTGAAATGTCCTAATAGGACAATTGTGTCTAACATATTTTCAAAATCCATTCTGCTTTATTATATAGATTTTAGGGTTAATGAAAGGAGGAAAGTGCAAAAAGCCTCATTTGTGATAGGTTTTTTAGTTTTTTTGACTTTTGTAAAAACAAAAAATAAATGATTATGATTTGAACGTAATATTTTGTGTTATTGAACTAAAAATCTTATTTTGTCTTTTTATAGCTAAAATAGTCCAAATCTAACCCAACCCAAACTTTCATGCCAAACATAACCTAAAACATTTAGTTTGGATTGGAGATCTGTTGAAGAAAAGAATCCAAAAACAATCTCATGTTAACCAAAATAAGTATAGCCTACTTCAAATTCTCGTATAACTTTTGGATTAAAAAAAGAAAAAAAAAATGAGTATATAATTTTTCAATGTGATGAATGGCGATGTGGGGATGAAAATGGTAGGAAGGAATGACATTAAATTGGGAGTGGTGCAAATTAAGCAGGTTAGCATTATATACACTGACAACATTTATCTCGAGTCTACATTTTTTTCAAGAAAGACTAATAATTGTAAAGGATAATGTTTGAGAGCTCGAAAATATCCCCCCCTAATCCCCCTAATGCCCAAAACGACGTCGTTTTAGGCATTATTATTATTATTATTATTATTTTTTCTTCTTCTTCTTCGTCGAGTCTGAGCAGAGGGAGAGTGAGAGGGAGAGAAAGAGAAAGAGGGAGAGGGAGAGAGGAGGAGAGGATCGTCTGCTCGCCACCACCGTCGCCTCGCCGCCACCGATCGTCTGCTCACCACCGCCGATCGTCGCAGCACCACCGCCGTCGCCTCCGGCCCCGCCTCCGCCTCCTCCCACTGTTATGGCCCTATCCAGTCCACTCCTCCTTCCTCCTCCTCCTCCTTCCCCTCCTTCCCCTGCTTCTGAAAAAAAAAAAAAATTAGGGGGATTCGGGGGAATGCATTTTTGAGCTACGTAGCACGGTCCTAATTGTAAATTACCACCATATGAATGTTCATTATGTAAATCGTCAACATCGTGAAATGTGGAGTGATGGATTAGGCCGCTTCATTTGGTTTACATTGAAACTTAACCAATAATCATATGAAGTTTCAATGATTTTTTTAAGGAAAAATAAACACAGTGACTGTGGTGTCTCCATTTGAAATGTATTATGACCTTATTTTTATAATCCAAACTGTTCATTTTGTAAGGTTTGTTAAGTGTTTCATACCTACCAAAAATTATATTAATCGGATATCAACAACTATATGATCGATAACCAAAAAAATAAATAATAAGTTTTTCTATTGAGAAATAACATAAAATATATGCAATTCAATCATATAGTTATTAATATCCGATTAATATGATTTTAGGTAGGTATGAAGTACTTAACAAACCTTACAAAATGAACGGTTTGGATTATAAAAATAAAGCTATAACACACCTCAAATGGAGGTACCACAATCACTGCTGTGCTACCCCTTTTCCTTTTTTTTAACCGCATTTGGCTCTGATTTTTAAGTTGCAGTGAAAAACTAAAATCATTGTACTGCGATGAAAATTTCTTTAACACTCAATACTTTCCTCCTCACTCAGGTTACATAAACTTATCACTCGTCACTTATCAATTTTTTTTTTAACACGAAAAACGACATTCCGTGGAGATATCGTAATTTCTGTGGATTTTGACCTCGTATAATTAGTTATCGGTTAAATTTAACCCAACTCAAAGGAAATGACAAATCATTGAGACAAAAAAAGAATGCACAAACTCCCAGTACAGAGGACAAAGTCTTGATCAGAGTACATCACAGTCAATTTTACCATTTAAAAAATAGGCCGCTAGTCACGTTCCTAGAAATCGAGCGTTGCTCAATTATGTAGAAGGAATATACATTTCCACTCTACCATCACCTCGGTAAGGGAAAAGTTAGGGATCATGAAAATGAGCATGAAAAATTTATGATCATTGAATTACCTTGATTAGTGTGTGGTGCTTTATTCCAAGTGTAATCCAAGAGTCACAAAACTTTCATAATTATTTTCATGAAAAATTTTCATGATACCTAGCATTACTGCCTCGGTAATATCAGTTATCAAAACTTCATGAGATACTTTTCTTGATGTTTAAAAATTAGATCTAAATATGAATCTCAACCATTGCTGCCTACATTTTCGCACAAACTACTCTTTATTCGCGTTCATGTAAATTCAATTCATCTCATAATTTGTTCATCATAATCACATTAATCACATTCATTGCCTAGAACAATTTTCTACACATTATTATAATATTCCTGAAAATTTTCAATACAATACAATGGAAAAACCTTGTTACCAGTTTTTGAAAGTTTCGCATTCCTTCCTACATACAACAGAGAGAGTACACCTCCATGACTAATATATGATCATTGAGCTATGCATAGCCCAACATTGGGTGAAGAGACAATGGCGAAAACAACGGGGCGTTAAAGATACTGTTCGCATTTTGATCCCATACGGCACTCCAATTTGACGGCGTTAATGGACAACTGGCTTCACTACTACTCACCGCCGACGCGTCAGATTCCGGTAACTTCTCCTTCTTCACCGACCTTTCCTCTGTTTGTTCTTCAGCCTCTCTCTGCCTCTTCGCGCCGCCGTTCTCCTCCGTGGCAGCGGCGGAGACGGAGGCGGAGGAGCGACGCCATTTTCCTACTTCGAGAGGGAAGTTGAGAATGGCTTTGCTCCCGCGCATCTTGAATGCGGCTCGATCGTAGGCCTTGGCAGCATCAATGGCGGTGTCGAATGTCCCTAACCAAACCCTAGACCCCCGCCGCTTCGGATCTCTGATCTCCGCCGCGGACTTCCCCCACGGCCTCTGCCGGACTCCCCTGTAGTGCCTAGTAAACGGTTTCTCTACGGAAACTGCTAACTTAGTCGGCTGCCCGAACTCCAACCACTCGAATTTCTTCACCGGAGCTAGGTCGATCTTCAACGACGGCTTGCGCTCGCTGAAACTCAACCTAGAACTGGACTGAATGTTCAAATTCACTGGTTTCGGCGTTGTAAGATCGATTATTTGAGGCTTCGACTCAAATCCAAAGAAATTTATTTGGTTTTGGTCAAAATTAATCGAATTATGGACAAAATCAAAACATTGAGTGTTGTTAACTTCGTTGGAATCCAGGTAATCAGAGATTACGATGGTAGAGTCACAGCTTGCAGTCTGTGAACAGAAGGAATAAGATTGAGAGCTTGAACCCTCAGTTTGAACACTGGTTGTAGAATCAAATGCTGTGAAAATCGAGTTGGTGTTGCGGAGGCTATTGACATCAAAGCTGTCAAGAGGAAAGAACTCGCCGACGAGGTGTTGTTCGATGAGTTCGAGAGTCGAGATTTCTACTGGTGTCGCCATTAATAAGTAATTAAGAGAGAAAAATGGATGAGTTTGTTTGAATTGAGAGGCACGCTTAATTAGGGTTGATGAGATGAGCGTGGAAGAGGAGAGTGTAAAGGTATTTATAGACGAAACGAATAATAATTAATGGCTACTCCAAAAGCGACCCCCTAACGTAAATTCTAGGATGGAAGAAAGAAGCGACCTTTTCCCAATTCAAAGGCAAAATGGGCGATGACTTGTAATTCAGGTGTGCTTTTTTTTATTTGGTCTTTCGCCGTTGATTCAATCGCCTTGGAGATATATTCCTCATCAAAGAGGACTATTCATAGTGCGTCTTCCATATTAAATACCTTTAAAAAAAAAAAAAAAAAAAAAAACATACTTACAATAATTTGTGTTTTCTAAATATATGTAGATAATTTGATATTTGATTTAATGGACGGACTAATTTAAGAAACCAAACCTTTGGAAGATTTGAAATTTGAAATCATTGAGTGAATACATATCAGACTCTAAGTCTTAACCAACAAACACAACAAGAAAATAGCTTAAATAACACGGAACTTTTTGCGACGGTATAGCCGTTGCAAAAAATGGTCTTTTGCGACAGCGTTTTCAAACCGTCTAAAAAAATAGTCTTTTTTGATAGCATTTTCAAACCGTCTCAAAAAATAGTCTTTTGCGACGGTGGTGACCCCGTCACTAATGCATATATCACAAAAAAAACATAAAACATTTGCGACGCCTGATGTACCGTCGCAAAATATTTTTTTTTGAGACGGGAACATTTACTGTCGCAAAAGCCTTGTTAAAACGACGTCGTTTTATTTGATAGGATTCATCATTTGTGACGGTTTAAGTACGCCGTCGCAAAAAGTAATGAAATTTTTCAATCGCGCTCATTTTAGCCTATTCGCGGTCATGTGTTTCTCTAAAATCCCCAAACCTTTTTGAACCAACCCAAAATCCCTAAAATCTCTAAAACCAAAATCCTCAAAAGCATCTGAACAAAAAACAAAAAATCCCCAAATCCATTTTGAAGCAAAATCCCCAAAGCCCTTGAGCCAAAATTCAACAACGGTGACGGACGACAACGGTGATCGACGACGGCTAGCAGCGAGGGAGCAGGGAAGCAGAGTCACGAAGCAGAGTTAGATGATCTAGGGTGAATCATGAACCAACCAGAGGCCTAGGATCAAAAGCGACAAAGATCATATTATATACATATATAATATGTATGTATAGTGATATAGAGGGAGAGAAAGTGAAGAAACACGTAAACTAATATGGTCCGTGTATGCAACTGAAGAACACGATTCTTTTTCTTCTTCTTCTTCTTCTTCTTCTTCTTCTTCTTCACTCTCCTCATTCCATTCACCATCGTTTTTCTTCGATTCGCAAATCGCTTCTATTCCGATCGAGTCTCTCTTCGTCTCTGCAAATGAAGAAAGAAGCTTCATCGATTTTATTGACCTCGGAAGGGCTCGAAGACGTTGATGAGTTCGTCGGGGTGAGCCTTTCTTTTCGCTTGTTTGGTTAGTGAGAAAATGTATATGATGAAACAAAATCAAATTTTTTGAATTTTTGTTTTTTTGAGTATTCGGCAGAGTTTCGTAGAAAAGCTGTGTTTTCATATTGTCAGACAAAGTGAGGGTTTATGTATTTTTTTTTTCATAGAGGAATTTGTGAATCTCTGTGTGATTTTTTTTGATTGAGAGTGTGTGGATTGAAATGCAGGAGAGCGAAGTTGGTTCATCCGTGACGTTTGAACGGTTTTGTCATGTGAATAGATCTCATGCAGATTGGGAACCTAGCTTTCCGAGAAAATCGCTTCGAAGAGGTGAAATTCTTACTCCTTTGGTTGTTTTTCCCTCATATTCCTGGCAGTTTTAGTTGTTATTTTTATTTTTGTTTTTTTGTCATTTTTTTGTACTTGAAAACTGAGTGGACAAGAGGAACTAGCTAGAAATTTACGGGTTTAATTTGGTTGTTTTAACAAGTTGTTGAATGTACTCTGCTTTTTTCCCATTTTTTTTCTTTTTTTGGTTTTTTCTTTTTTTTTTTTCTCAAAGAATCCTAATTAAGTTAAATTGGGAAGTATAATGGTCATTGTGAATTGACCGGGAAACTAGTGATAAGCATATACATAACAATTGAATTCTATATACATAATGTTGCCAGTCCAAATGGTGTAGAAAAAAGTTTAATTTGATGCATTGCTTCAATTTTTGGTTACAAGCCTATCAAATGCATCCAAATGGCTAGGATTCATGGGATGTGTCAAATTAAGCCTCCTTATGCCATTTGACGCCCTAGTATCCAACCGCAAATAATGTACATCAACATTGCCCTTTTCGCTACTTGCCCTTATGCAACTCAACGCCCTGTGATGGTCAACATATTGTCCACCTATACCTATCAAAAGTAAAATTTTCAGAACAAAAAGAAATGATGGTAGTTAGTACACTTGTTGTCTGATTCAACTAGCTTTGTAATGCACTCGTGATTCTAATTATTTGTCTTTTTATTTCCTATAATGAAAAGCAACCAAACTCTGCTCATGAAGATTGTGATTTTTCTACTTGGATTAGATGCAGTTAGCGTAAGTGAAATAGAGGCTCTTTATGAACTATTTAAGAAGATTAGCAGTGTAGTAATTGATGACAGTTTAATCAACAAGGTTTGTCTATATCTTTGTGGAAAATTATTGTTGCATTTTTTAACATGTTAAGATGATATGCCATTATAGTACTGCTCTTAATAACCATGAATTTGATGCTATTCTTTATATTTTCTAGTGTCAATGTGTTGTTACCCCTCCATAATCTAACTCTTGTTTCTTGAATGCTTTCTTTCTATATAATATTGCAGGAAGAGTTTCAATTGGCGTTATTTAAGACGAACAAAAAAGAGAGCCTGTTTGCTGATCGGGTATTTTATTTTTGACTACTATTATTCTTGTTGCTCTTGTTAATGCTCACCTTAACTAGACATTCTCTTAAACTAGTTTGCATGTGTTCTTTTTCTTGCACTGCATTTTCTAGAGCATCATGAATTATGAACTTTTCCATACACAGACTTTGTTAGTGATAAAAAAAAAAAAAACATGCATATTATATATGTAGGTATAAGCACAGTCATATATAGATGCATGTTTATTTGTGTGTTTGTGCCTGTTTTAAAAGCTGCAGACTAGGAATATAGAAATATTTGTGTATTTCTATGTTGAAATGTGAATTATGTTGGAATCACTCATCATTATGTTGATATATAGTTTATAGATGCTTCAGAACAAATATGCTAAATCTTCTAAAGCTATTCTCATCCTAATTTTTTAATAATTTCAGGTATTTGACTTGTTTGACACAAAACATAATGGCATCCTAGGCTTTGAAGAATTTGCCCGCGCACTCTCTGTATTTCATCCGAATGCCCCTATTGATGATAAGATTGAGTGTATGCTAGAATGCTCTACAATATTGCTATGATGATGGGAATTTTTTGTTGTAGTTCATTTAGTCTGAAATTTCTAGTTTGCATTTTCATTACACTAATAATTTTGTGTTGCAGTTTCGTTTCAATTGTACGATCTCAAGCAGCAAGGTTTTATTGAGAGGCAAGAGGTAACTACTTGCATTATCATGAACTGTTTTGAGACCTAAATTAATTAAATTTGGACTTTCTATAGGCTGTGATGGCTTCCATTATTTTCACTTTTCTGTTTCACTGGTCTTAATTAATACTCTATGATCACTGAAATCTACTCTATTGTTTTCTTATTTGGTCTAGTGAATTATATGAATTGCTAATAGATACCAATATCTTATCCCATGAAAAATCCATAAACCGTGACTTGACTTGAGAGGCATTGCTGAAAAAAGTTTGCTTTGCTGTTTAAGTTTCAGTAACTTTTTCATGTGCTAAGACACAATGTGTTTTTTGTTCTTCTAAGCTGTATTTCTTTATTATTGGGTTGGAACCTTAAAAACAATGTAGGAACTGTAGGTTGAATGGATAAAATGATCGTTGTATTTTTACTAGTTGTTTTGTTGAAAGTTTACTTTGCAACAAAGATTGAATGAAATAGAAAAGGTGTACAAGAGGAAAATAATTCAGAGAAGGCATCAGACCATTATGGACCTAGTGGGTGTCGACTTTTTATGTTGGCCAATAATTTGAGTGACATAGAATAAGCATATGTCACTCTCATGTGAGTGATTTTGCGCTAGAGCAATTCTTGTTTGAGCTAAGCCAATGGAAAGGAATTATAGTTCGCCAATATACTTTGGTGTTGGGCATACTATGGTTGAATACTAGATGTTAAGGCATTTGGTTTAATGGTTTTCCTCTTTGTTCTCTTTTCGTAGATTTAGCCTTCAATAAGAAAGATGTGACACAGTATAGTTCATGTTATTTGTCTTTAATATCTGTCATATTTTTTTAGTGTTTTAGATATTTAATCGACTTTCAAAATGTAGGTGAAGCAAATGGTAGTGGCAACTCTTGCAGAATCTGCTATGAACCTTTCAGATGATGTTATAGAGAGCATCATTGACAAGGTGCTCCCTCAACCTGAGTTAATTAAAGTAACATCTATTTATCATATATATGACTTTAATTAGCTCTAGGCATCCATATCTAATGTAATAGTATGTGCCTTGTTTTCCTCATCCTTATCCTTTTCATTTTTAATTTAATTTAATTTTTTCTATCTTGGTTCTTTTCTCCTACGAGTCATACGAATTCAAATTTATTTTGTTACGCTCTTTGTACACTCTGTTTCTAAAATCAAGCAGTTAAACTAGGGTGTAATGTTCTATAAGGAGGTAATTTACTCTAAAAGTGCTTTATTCATCTTCTATCATTCTTTCTTTTTTGTTGTTTTGTTTGTTTGTTTGGTTTTTTTTTTTCCCCCACAAAAAGCCAACTAGTAGTTAATAGAAATATTTTATGTTGCATTTCTCTTGTTAAACCTACTTTTTGAGGATTAAATTGCCAATTGAAGCTCCCATGGTTTTACAATCATCACCTTACATAACTAGATGTGGCATTTTTCAAGCAACCTACCAATGGCAATATGAATAGTCAAATATGAGTCATGCATAAAATAACGAGTGCTAGTTTCTGATATTTAATTTCGGGGAAATTGCATTTTAGTGGGAACAACTCAAAATTGGGGTAACCACTGGTTCAGTCCAGTGGTTTTTACCTTGGCCTACTAACCTTAAGGTTATGGGTTCAAGTCTGAGGACAAAAACTTTGTGCATTTATGCCAAATGTTAGGCGTACACCCAATCTAACTACTCCCAAACACCCATTCATGTTTTTGTTTTGTAGGAAACTGTAGACGTCCCCGAACGTCCCGGGAGGGAATCCCCCCCCCCCCCAGAGAGAAAAATGGATGAGTTTGTTTGAATTGAGAGGCACGCTTAATTAGGGTTGATGAGATGAGCGTGGAAGAGGAGAGTGTAAAGGTATTTATAGACGAAACGAATAATAATTAATGGCTACTCCAAAAGCGTAATGAAGTGCCAAACATGGACTGCTTTGCCAGATACAGAGTCGCCACCTAAATATTTTATTTTGGGGAATTTAGGAAACCCTGACTCGTTTGCCTAAGGCCACGTGTCCGTCATCACCAAAGTTGCCTCGGCTCGGGAACTTGGGTACGATTGGGGAAGGTCACTTCGTAAGCACCCCCGCTCGCCCGATCAAAGATCGGCCTCTACTAACCATGATATCTGGTTTTGAAAACATTATGCGTTCTTATTACGGGTATTAGCCTAGATTTACTATGTGATGCGCACAACATTCAAGTATAGATTTGATCGCCCGAATTGGAGCAAAACATTTTATGTTTGTTTTTGAAAGCGGTTTGCTACTCGCAAGTAGGCTTAAAATGCAGATTTTGCCACCCTCGGGTGAGCTTAGAAGACATGATGATTTGCCACTCTCAAGTGGGCTTTAAACTCGCAGTCAATGCATTATTCCAATTCAGATAATCCAACTTTCACCCACAGGTATTCAGACAGTTATATCACATAAGCAGTTAGCCTCATGGTAAGCATGCTATCATGGCAGTCACTCACACATATGCAAGGATGCTAAAGCATAAAACTTACCGAGTACTCCAAGCCAAAACAAAAGCTATGTTAGAAATTCATGCATGATCCTAGCTATACAAAAATGCCTAATGCAACACATGCAAAATGCAACTAAAATAGGTTCGGCTATTCTACAATGACATATGAAATGTAGCAACTGACACACGTATTCAACTCGGAATTGAAAAACAATGCAGTTAGTATGATGCGCCGAGGCCGGTGCATGCAAGACAGATGAATGAATGCAAACATGCTATCATAAGTATGCTAATTGAAATGTGCCCTTAATTGACCATCATAAGCTGGTAAATAAAAGGGAGAAAGACGTGGGGTTAGAAGACATACATCACACACACGCACACTTATTACAGTTGTGCCCTCGCTCGGAGGGTCCGAATGATTATTACATAACCAAAATAAATAACGAATTATTACACAACACTAATTACTTAACAAATGAACTAGGTAAGCAGAGTAAACTAGCATACAAACTAAATACAATGGACTGCCTCAGCTCTGTTTCGGATGGCAAAGGGTGTATGCATGCTCGAGTCGCCTTGTTGGTAAATTCCATCGCGATGCCTCGCCTCGCCTTTGTTTGCAATTGATTTCAGAAACTTGCACAAAGCTCCAGAAGGCTGAAACTCCACTCTGGGAAGCTGTGGGAGGGCCACCGACTAGCTATTGGGCTTGGAGACCACCCATCGACCAGTTTATGTGGGAAAAACCCGAAGGGGTAGTCGGCCTGCCAGAAAAGCTGGTCGGCCGACCAGTTCCTGCCTCTAGTTTCTGGTTTTTCTGCAACAAAGGCAAGAGAAAGAGAAAGCAAGGCATTAGCAACACATGTGTGCACGACCACTCTCCCTGTCATTGCACAAGCTCTAGGGAGTGTGGTCCTCGATCCTCATGCCACCAATCACGCATCTCGAGGCATGATGGCCGAGGAATCGAATTGTACAACTCGATGTGAAATGAATGCACATATGAACGCAACAAGGCCTAAACTCCATCATGGATAACCCGGAGCGTCGGCGACCGGGAATCGAGGCACGTTGCGTCACTTAGTGTACGAAACGTCCCTCATTTCCCGTGTTTGGACTAAACCTTACTTCAAACACAATGCAATATGCATGATATGCACGAATGCAATTCTAACATGCAATCCTAGATGCAATGCCACTAAATGACATAAACATGCAAGGGATGAAAATGCAAACATACACCTAGCATATACAATGCTAACACTACATGGCATGCATAATGCTCATGAACTAAATGCGACTAACAACCTATGGCATACCCAATGCTACTAACAACCTAGCATACACAATGCGAGGAATGACATGGCATACACAATGCTAACAACATAACATGCACAACACATTGCAACATGGCATACACAATGCAAGGTGGACTTAAACCAATATGAGTGGACCTCAGCCACACTCCAATCAGTGGCCATATGATGGAAATGAGACAACCGAAACACATGCAAACATGCACGATGCAAGGGACCGATCCTAAGGCATCAAATGTCACTCTACCAAAGCATAGCAAGGGATGAAACATGACATGGAATAGCATAAATTACAGCTCTAAAACAGCATGAAATATGGTCCCGAAACGTGCAAATATGGCACACAATGCAAGCTAGGGGGCCTGGGTACCGAAACTAGTGAAGTGCGTTACACTAGAGGTACCCAAAGCAATGCACCAAAGGCAAAACCAACCCCAAAAAGACCCTAGGCAGGTCTGAAACAGTGGAAAATTGACCTAAAATGATGACTCGGAATGCAACGAAATGGAGCTTATTCAATGGTCAGTAAATGGGGTATACAAGCCCGACTCTCAAGCGCATTTAAAGAGATAAAAACATGGCAACATGGTATTCAAACAAGCTCTGAAATGTGATGAATAATAGGCTCAAAACATGAACACACCTCAGTATATGCATGGAATAGATCTCAAAACTCAAAGCTAAGCATGGACCTTGAACTACAAGCATGCAAAACTAACATCGTTCAACCACAAGACCCAAAAACAGAGCTAGGGTAGTCCAAAATAAGCACATTATCAGTCTAAGGCATGGCCAAAATATGCTAGAATCAATAACCTATAAAGCATGAAAAGAAAGCTAGTGAACCATGAGTTGTTCTACAATTATATGAAACATATGAAGGCTCACCCAACCAGCCAAAAACAGAAGTATTTCATGCCAAAATATGCCCAAATAACCACTGAAACTCAGTCAACACATGCAAGAATGATGAGCCCCTATGGAAAGCCATGCGAGGGGTTGTTCTACACATACATGGTAGACAAACAAAAGGGAAAAACCACCTCTGGAAATAAGTTATGACAGCCCTAAAACTCACCAAAAAAGCCTTGAAATGAGTCAATGAAGCATGCAATGAAAGGCCCCTTTGAAAGGCCTTGAATGGAATTGTTCTACACATGCATTATAGACACAAAATATGGCCAAAAAGGCTCCAAATAGAGTCAATGCAGACCTTAAAACTCACCAAATAGGGCCTGAAATGTGACTTCGCAACATGCAAAATGGAGCTCCTTTGGAAGGCCAAAAGGGCCAACTAACAAGACAAGGAGAGAGAGGGTCACCCCCCTCTGATTTTAGGGCTCAAAGACACATCTAAGCCACTAAAAATCCACTGGATTTCAGTGGCTAAAAGGCCAAACCAAGACCAATGTAAATGCTCTAATGCATAGCCCTAAACATGAGGGAATGAAGCATACAAAGGGGAAGGTGACCCCAAACAGAAAAATGACCTTAAGTAAACATGTTTATAAGTTCAAAAGGAAACTTTTTTAAGTTTATGATAAATCTCGAAAATGCTCACAAGTAGGGCTAAACAATGAAGCAAAATAATGCTCAAAAGGGGAAAAAGTGGCTACCTTTGAAGACCAGCAGAAACCAACAGCCTCTGGACCCAAAAACCCAACCTTGAACCTCTAAAAATACCCTCCAAGGACCTTATGTTGATGATGGAGGTGTTAAGCTATGAGAGGTGGTGTAAAGGGACCAAGAACCAAGCAATTTAGAGCTCAAAAGAGAGAGATATAAAGAGAGATATATTGTTTAGCCTTAGCAATTTTCTGAACCAGCACAAAAGAGGGAGAGGCTCTCCTATATAGACAAAGAGGTCTAAAGCTTCTCTTGGAAGCTAAAAACAACTTTGAAGATCCTCCATACACGTGGTGTATGGAGGATGCTGCAAATGGCTCCCAGCTGGCACAACTGGAACACACTCAGACAGACAAAACAGAGGGTAGCTGGACGACCAGTTCAAAAGGGTCAAGGTGGTCGGCCACCCCCAATGATGAATCCCCAGAAGTTAGCTTTCCAATTCCGCAAACCTTGCATTAAAATTCCTCCTGTGCAAAAAGTTATGCCAGTTTTGGTGAAGCTGCGCAGATTCGGTCCAATCGGATTGATGCCCTACTTCAACCAACCATGTCTCCTCCACCCGGACTTGGCTTTAGGAGATTCTTGAGTGCAAAATGAAGCCCCGGAAGTAATCTTTCCAATGGTGGTGGCTTCATATCTTAAATCCAAGTACGCAAATGAATAAGCCCGATTTAACGATGACCGCTCGACTCTCTCTTAGCGATTCATGTCCACCTCTTTCTTCAACTTGGTTCTTTCCCTCTTCTCCAATTTTCCTCAAATCCAATCCCCTAAACAAGGTGTTTTGAAAGATTTTTCAAAGATTTCATCTCTTGTTCATTCAT